TATCCGCTATCACGGAGACGATTATATCGCGCTGTAATCATGCATAAACACACGATCGTACACTGCACGTACCACGACTTCTACAATCGACCCAACACTGCATGGTTCACTAAGGCCGGAAAACGACACAAGACCGATGTCGGACGATCGTAACGACATCTCCTCATGCGCTGGCGCGTCTGATGATACTGCCTGAAATTACAAGTCAATAGGCACTCAGTCACAGTAATAGTGAGTACTAACAGCCCTACTCTCTGAGGTATAAAACGCATTTATTAGCAGCGACACACAGACGCACGCGATAAACTGCGGCTCCGAAAAGTGCTCTAGACATTACAGCCGTGTGGTTACGTGACGACAACTTTTCATGAGGATCCTGGCGGGAAATGTCAGAGCGTGGTGAAATGAGGATCGCGGCTGCCAATGCATCGAAAAGTGCAAAAAACATAGGGGGGTGAAGCATTTTTTAGTTGTGAAAAGTTTAAATGTGTGAGGTTTCCGGGGCCAAAAATGTCATGTGGACGTGAGAGTGCAAAGAAAAACAGGAATTTAGCGCTAAAAGGGATTAAGTTCTAGTTGTCCGTAGACCACAGCCGTTTCCACTGACGTCAGTCAGCGCGTATCGACAGCGCGTGGGTTTTCAGCGTAGCAGCGCCGGCCCCTTTCCCAGCACTTACAGGCCCTAAGCCACGACGATCGATGGAAAACAAGATGGTTCCGCGCCAAAATCCACGCGCTGCTGACACGCCCCGATTGATTCCAGTGGCAATATAGTTAGTGGCCGGTTTTTGCCTTTTTGTGCATTTTTAAATCTTTTACATGGTTTTCCCCACACTTCTTATTGAATGTAGTTGTTCACTCAGGTGATAGTAAACAAAAAAAACATGCAAAAAAAAGCGAGGAAGAAACATTCATGACGTTCGAGGCGAAGGTATAGCCTATGCAAGGGTGCGCTTTATACCTCATAAGATAGGGTAAAGAAAGTAAACTAAATAGTAAACGAAGTAAACAGTTGCCTGCAACAAATTACCTTTTCACCCCTGCTGCTTTCCTTGGAGCGCGACTCTTTCAATTGTTGTCCACTGGCGCGCTGCTTGTTAGCCTTAATAACGTAATTACCTTTCTGGAAACAGATACTTTTATATGAAGACCTGTAGTAACTGTGAATTTGTCAGATAAACCTCTAATCGTCTAATTATCAAGTTGAATCTGTTATTTACTATTTCCTCCAAGCATTCATTTCTCTTTTAAAATATGTAATGACAACAAGTGTGACGAATCGTTAGTAAGTAGCCAGGGCACGTTGTACGCTGGGGATCCCCAGAGGGGAGGGATCGTATCCGCCTTGAACAAAATCGTTTCACTTGTAGAGTT